TTGATCCAACTATACCACGTCACAACTGTGCCACGACCCCCCTGTGCTGGGTTTTTTTTAATGAATCAAAGATTTTCAAAATAAATACTGAAAACAATGTAAATGACATTAACTCTATTGAAATAAATGTCATGTTAGATAAGGTTAAGTTAAAATTTCAAATAGATACTGGAAGTTTTTATTCTTTAATAAGTGAATCTTGTTACTTAGTAAATTATTAGAAAATGACATTATGTTAAAAGATTATATAGGTAAATATTTTAAGCTGTTGGGAAAACTAGATATAAGTTTTAATTATTATAATGTTAAAGGAATAATTACACTGTATGTTGTAAAAAAGGATGGCACCACTTCCAGGGTCTGGAGGTAGATAATGGTATCATTAAGTATTATAAGAAAGGAAAATTAAATGAAGACTGTTTTTATGTAATTTTTTTTTTTATGTGTGTTTTGTTTTATATATTATTTTTGTTTTGTGAATTTTTAACAGAATTTTCGCGTGTGATTAAATATATATATATGTTATTTTAGTTTGTTAATATTTAACAGAGCTTTTGTGTATTAATAAATTTATATGTATTAAATAATAGTATTGCGTCTTCGCTCTGTTCCTGTAGTTGCCTGTTGTAATTCCCACATAAATAAGTATTTAATGTATTATAAATATAACCTTATAATGATCAATAAATATTAAACTTCTTTCATATTGAAGTTGCATGAATTTGTCTACAGAAACAGCCTAAGTTAAACTTTTCGGAGAAAATCTTTTTTTTAATTTTATTGTAATGGAGTCTAATATCTTATAATAAATATAAATCCTATAATAGTCATGAACAGATACAATTGACTCAACTGGTTTAGATGTTGCATTTGTTGAGGTAGTTAACATGTAATCATTAAGACGAGTCGGCTCTTTTCTCTTTCTCTTAGAATATATTTAATTATATATTTAATTAAGACGATTAAAATGGAGATTTTTTATTATTATTTAATTTACTGAATAAGGATGGTATTAAGAAACAAATATAGATGTTTACATAAATAAATATTTATACTAATAACAATCCTTCGCGTCTTGTATATGTGTTTATAATAACAATTTAAAATAATATAAAACATTTTTTTTTGTTGAACAATATTTATGTATGTCTTATATATAATAAACATTAGTAACAAAAAAGTTTAATGAACTTCTTGGATTAAAATTAAAACAATGTTCAATAACAAAATATTGTTGAAATAAATAATTATAAATTAAATATCATTGTAACATTGTTCTTTTTTATAAGAATAATTATTTATTGTATTCCGTGAATTAATATGGAAAATTGGAAACGTTAAAAATTGATTATTTGGAATAATTTTACCTCTTTGGGAGTTGGATAAATCTACTGAGTATGTAGCAGATTGCATAACACGAAGGCTGGCAAAATACTATGGTGGTGCTGCGGCTGGGATTAAAAAATTTAATTATTTTTATTTTTGATCTGATTAATGATTGTTTTAAAAAAATAAATTTTTATTCATATTGGATAAATAAAATTTGTTAAAAAAAAATGAAATTGATGAGCAAAATAAAAATCCTTTTTCTAGACTAGTAAACATAGTTATGCATCCCCATTGATTTTAATTTGGATGGCACTGTTAATAATATTACATCAGACTACCCTGCACTTCAGAAACTTATGCAGTTGTATATAACTATATATGAACCCTTATTGACAGAACTGTTTTCAAAGTAAATATAAAGAGAGAAAATTAATTGGATTCCAAATAATCTACTCATTTTTGACAACAATTATAAATGTTTCAGTATTAAACATACCAAATAATGTTTTAATTTTCAAAAATACAAGGATACTTAATAGATCAAAAAATTATAAAACAAATATGATACTCGACGCGCGATTAAAACGCTGTGAAAACCAAAGTGCTTGAATAAATCAATTGTTCTATTTTAGCGTCCAGACGGCAAAAATCAAACATGAACGTTGGCCATCATCGGAAACGCGCGTCTTTATTGCTGAGTGTAAGCGCTTATAGAAACACGCAGTATTAATTTAAACTAGTGTCGCCAGCGTTTCCGATGCAGGGTCGAAAACGTGTAGTGTGAAACCGGTTTTATAAAATTAAACTGTACTTATCAATAACGGGAATACATATCACAGAGAATGCATAATATTAGTTATCTAAGAGGGTGTATGTTGTGTTAAAAATAAACTATAGAACAATAGAAGAATTTCTGGGAAGAGCGATAAAGAATAATGTTTACTACGTTAAAGTTTTATACAATTTTTTTTAATTAAATAGTTTGTTATGCAGGTGTACAATTACTATAAAAAGATTAATATAGATCGGCCCTTTTTGATTATTTTACTGGCGAGTAGTAATTATATATTTTATAGGATATTAAATTCTAAATATGTTTCAGATATGTACAGTGTAATTCTCCGAATTATGCGTCAAATTATATTGACGTTAGTTTTCCAATGGTGGTTTTTGAAATAACTGGATTAAATAAAAAACTCCATAAATATTTTAATGTGATTTTAAGTACATTGACGTGTAATGATGTAAATCTAGAAAAATATGAGAATTATGCAAAAGATACTTTTATAGTGTATTTAAAATTATATCCTTGTGTTATAATTCAAACAACTAGAATTAATAAAATAAAAATGATTAAATTAAAGGTAGGGCTTGTATATGGTTAGAACCTGATGTTGTGGTTCTATCAGGGTCGTATGGTTCGACGGTTTAGAACGACAAAGACAAGTAGTTATAAATAAATATAGTTTAAAAAAACACGCTTTTAAAGCACATCAAACTAAAAAGTTAAAAATAATTTTTAAAATAAGCTTAAAACAATAATGAACGAAAAATACTAGTATTATTGTTTTAAGCTTATTTTTAACTTTTTAGTTCAATGTTCTTTAAAAGCGTGTATTTTTTAGTTTTTTTAAACTATATTTATTTTTTACTTTTTAGTTTATGTCATGGGTTCTCAAGCTTTTGAGGTCCACGCCCCCTTTCAAGCTATTTTATATGCTCACGCCACCCCTCTCACTACTATAAGATTGATATATGCATAACATTTATATGTAAACTATACTTTAATGTTGGTTATTGCATTAATATGAATACAACTTCAATGACGTTTTAGCTTCGATGCGAAGCGGAGAAGGTATTAATTTTACTATGATGTGTTTTTTTTTTTTTTTTTTTTTTTATATGTCTGTTGCCACTTTTTCTCAGCTCTCACTGGACCGATTTCTTTCAAAAATACGTCAAAAGATCACAAATCGTATCTAGTTGAAGACATTACCCTTAAAAATTGAAAAAAATTCCCTCGTTCCCCGCAAATGGGGGAAATATCCAAAAAAATTACAAATTTAAAAATCGCTAATTTTCGAAATTTTTTCACTTTTTTTTCTTAAAACTTCCATAACTTTTTGAAAAATCAACAAATCAACATAATTTTTTTTTATACTAAAACCTTAGATATTTACCTTTCATTTGATATCATTTTTTTGAAAATCTATCACTTAACCTGCTCATTGGGGGGGATTTAAAATGGCAACTTTTTTACAAAAATTAATTTTTTCAACTTAATTTTTGAAAATGTTCCGGAAAGACTGCGTCCTTTAAACATATATCAAATTAAAGCTTATTTTATGTACTACAAAATGAAAAAAAAAAATTTGTCCCGACACTTTTTTTTCTACATTTAAACGGCTGCCGTAGTTAAAAAAACACTATTTTTGTGTTAAAATTTTCGATTTTCGATTTTAAATTTTCAACTTAAAAATGCTATAACTTTTTGAAAAATGTATATATCAGCACAAATTTTTTTTTTCTAAATACATTATAAGTACATCTTTCATTTGACATACTTTTTATTAAAATTGGACAATTTCCCCTTATATAGGGGGCGTTCAAAACTTAAAATATTGTAAAAAACATAGATCTTTTTCAACTGAACTTTTGAAAATGTTCCGGAAATACTGCGTCCTTTAAACATATATCAAATCAAAGGTTATGTTATATACTATCAAATGAAAAAAAAAAATTTGTCCCGACATCTTATCTTCTATGTGCAAATGGCTGTCGAAAATTTAAAAAAAAATGTAATGTTTGCGATAAAAATTACATTTTATCGGGATGTTTTTTGTACTTAAAACTGCCATAACTTTTTCAAAAATGAACAAATAAAAATAATATTTTTTTGTATTGAAACCTTAGATATTTCCCTTTCATTTGATATAATTTTTTTTGAAAATCTAACACTTATTCTGCTCACTGGGAGGATTTAAAATAGTAACTTTTTTACAAAAAATAACTTTTTCAACTTAATTTTTGAAAATGTTCCGGAAATACTGCGTCCTTTAAACATATATAAAATTAAAGCTTATTTTATGTACTACAAAATGAAAAAAAAAAATTTGTCCCGACGATCTATCTTCTATACGCAAATGGCTACCATATTGAAAAATATACTATTTTTGTATGATAATTATGGGTTTTGTATTTTATTTTAATAGAAGTTGATGTTGCTTTTGCAATTATCCATCAATTTTTTAAAATTAAACACTATCTACAGATTTGCATCGAAGCGTTTCTTATGATAGTGATTTTAATCACTGTCAGATTAAATCTATACTGGACCCTACTATGCAATGTCTCTACTATGCCGCGACCCCACTGTGCTACCGTTTTTTTAATATTAAATTAATTATATATAGGATATATAGAGAGATAACACAGCCAAAAATCTTCAACAGTCTTATTTTTAAAGTCTTCTTTTGCTTGTGAATCATTTTTAAGGTCGATGGTTTGCTCTTGAAGATAATCTGGAAGTATGTCCACATCAATTTTGAATGGATCTAATATTAATTTAAATTGCCAATTTTCTGTAAAAATATCAGGGAAATACTTTGATAGTTGGTCTTTAAAAGATACCTAATGTGCTGAAATCAATTCCTTAAACTCATTCTCGATATTTAATATGTAATTTTCGGTATCATCAAGAAGTTCATTAAGCCGTGGAAAATATGAGAAATTAGGTTTGGTCGCACAAAGACGGCGTTGCCACATGATATTTTTTCTAAAAAAGCTTGAATTGTATCGTACGACTTCAGAATATTTGTATGTCCTTGAAGTTTTAAATTTAGAACATTTAGGAATCCAAAAAAGTCTGCTAAATATGCTATATAAAACATACATTTTTCATCTGTAAACTTATTGTATAGATCTAATTTCCCAGCACTCATTAAAAATATTTCAATCTCAGACTTAAAACTGTACATTCTATCAAGCATATTACATTTAGACAGCCAACGAACTTCTGTGTGATAAATAAGAGTTTTATGGTCACTTAGCAACTCATTACACAAAACATTAAAAATTCTAGTGTTTAAAGCACTAGATTTTACACAATTAACAATTTTTATTGCCAAATTCAAAACGGAGTTTAGTGATTTAGGTAAAGTCTTGCAAGCTAAAGCCTGTCTATGAATGATGCAGTGTGAACCAATTATGTTCGGGTTTTTTTCCTTGACTAGTTGAATAAAACCATTTTTACAGCCAGTCATAGCTTGTCTCCGTCAGTACATATACCAATTACTTTCTCCCGAGAAAAACTGTTAGATATCAAAAAATCAGAAAGAACAGAAAATACATCAACCGCCTTTTTGTTGTTTTAAGAGTTTGAGAGAATAATATTTCTTCCTTGAATTTTTTATCATCAATAAATTTACAATAAAACAGTAATTGAGAATTCTGCGAAATGTCCGTTGTTTCATCACACTGAAGTGAAAAGAACGGAGACTTATTTAATTTTTCTATTATTTGATTCTTCAAATCATGAGCCATTTCATCGATTCTGCGTTTTATTGTATCGTTTGACAGAGAAATTTTTGCAACTTTAGCACAACTTTCTTCGTTCAATATAGTTTTAAAAGCAGTAAGTAAACAAGGTTTTACAAGGGACTCACCAATAGTGTGTGGTTTCTTGTCTTTAGCTATCAACAAGGCAATCTCGTAAGAAGCTTCCATAAGCTTTTCATTTTCCATTGCAAAATGACCAGTAGAATCAAGTTTCACACGTTTTACCGAGTTTATTTTAGCATGAAAAAAATCGATCGGTTTGTCTTTTAAACTGGGATGTTTAGTGATTAAATGACGTTTCAATCGTCTAGGTCGCATCGCATCATTACTCAAACTATGTGACAAATCACGCACTGAGGTAAATGATTTCCATTTTTCTCAATTACACTAAATCCGTATTTAATATAATCGGCATTATACAATCTTTTTTTTGATTTTGACATTTTTAGTTATGATATATCAAATTACCACCAGTAATAATATTAAAAACAAAATTATAAACTGAAACAAGTACGTGCGGTATGAAAGCTACGACACAACTAAATACTAACAATACAAAATTATAGAAATTATCTCATACGTTGTACAAAACTATTAGAGTAATCGTTATATTTATTTACGGGTCACCAAAATTTGTTCTTATCGCGTCGAGTGGCGGTTTTTCGCCAAAACAATACTTCTATTAATACCGTAGTATTGTTAAACGATAAAATCGTAATAATCGCTCGGTGTATAATGTATATCTACTGATCGACCGCGGCGGCGACCAACATACCGGCAAGGCGTAGAAAACGGCAACGTTTTCATTTTTTGTGTTTTTTTTTCAACATTTTCACGCCTCCCAAGTGGGGCGCGCCCCAGATTGAGAACCACTGGTTTACGTTATGATAGTAGTTACTATCAATATCGTGGTTGTAATGAGTAATGTGAATACAGGGTTCGATTCCGAGGAGGTAGTCTGAGAAACGGCTACCACGTACAAGGAAAGCAGAAGGCGCGTAAATTATCCACTTCCGGAATGTGGAGGTAGTGACGAAAAATGACGATACGGAAATCATCCCCCATAATCGTAATGAATACTATCTCTTAATGAGAATAAAGCGTGTTAATATTTAAATTTTAATAGTAATTAGAATATATGAGGACTTGAATTCAATAACGGGCTAAGTGCCAAAAAGTTGATATTGAACTATTCATAATTTTTTTGAAACCAGAGGAAAATTGTAAAAATAAATGTCAAAAAAAATGTAATACCCTTTAATAACTTATACTTAACACTACTCATGCAAAATATAAGTTTTATTTCGCCCCTTACAATAAAAAAAAAAATCTTATACTAAAAAAATGATAAAATGTGTTAAGTCACGGCAGTACATATCGGTAAAAACGTGCCAAGTGCCAAAGATTTTTTTTTTTTTTTTTACAAATTTAATAGATCTTAAATATAGATATTTTGGTAATATTAGACTTAAGTTATTACAAATAATAAAAAACGTAGAGAAAAAAAATAACTTCATTTACTTAATTAATTTTTCGAAAAATTCTTTATTTTCTTCTTTTAGAAATGGTAGCATTTGCTGAAGATTTGTTTTTTTTTCGACTGATATTTTATTTTCACATACCAAGGACGGTAAATCCATCTCTTTTATTATGTTAACTTTCACACCTTTCTTGATGACTTTGCACGCGCTCCAAGCTTCAAGTTCACTGAAGGTAGTCTTTGTTTGCACCACACCGGGCTTGTCTTTTGTTATTTTGAGCCAAGAACATTTTGAAATTCGAAGTTTTCCAGTATACTGGGTTCTAATAAGGTGACAATAAAGGGGTTATTTGGTGTGGCGTGGACAATGAGTTTTACCAAGTCCATTGGAACTTCACACTTTTCCAACCTTTTACATTTTTCAATTTGGGCGAAATCTCTGTCACAGGATAGAAAGGAATGCCCAGACACTAGGTACTTATGATTAATTTCGTCAAATTTATCTGTGAGTGTTAAATATATCCATAGAAATAATAGCATTTTGTTTTTATTTTGGCCCACACAGTTATCAGACCAAATAGTTAGTTTACGTTTCACTGTTGGATTAGAATTCAATGCTTCAAAAACACATGAAGCGATTTCATTTCCTCCACGGCCACTCATACCTTCGTGCCATAAGAACATGTGCCCTCTGTTAGTGTCGCCAAAATGTACACCTAAATTGTAACAGGATAACTGACGCAAGTAAAACATTTGACTATGCGTTAATGAAGGTAATGATAAGACCTGTTCTAAATCCATTGAAAACATGCAAATATCACTGGTAGGGAGCTGAGACAAAGCCGTGTCTTGTTTCATTTGTTGCCTTGCGTTTTCAGCTTTTTTGTGATGAAGTTCTAACATATTTTTGGTATGTTTATCACGCGGTTTTGCCGCTACTTCTGCTGATAACAAATCACATTTATTGCAAGTATCTGTACGTGGTTTATGAAATGAAATATTTGGGCATTTTTGTTTAAACGTTTCAAAGAAAAACCTGTAGGTAACAGGAGAGTCAGGAAATTTATCTTTAAACGAACGAAATAGTCTACTAATATTTAAATCTTGGCTTAAATATTCTTTTTTGGTTTTTTTTCTCCCGTAATGACTTTCATCTCTCGGAAAAGAGTTCACATGCTCTATAATAAGGTTTTTATCTGCATCAGTAAACTTGCTTCTATTCTGCGTATTACCACGTGTTTCAGTATATATAGCCTCTTCCTTTTTTTTTTTTAACACTAGAGTCTCAACTCTGCGTTTAGTAATCCCAAAAACTTCCATAAATAATTTTTTACAGACCTGTATGATGTTGCCCGTTCCATCTGGAATAGAAACACATACGGTAACTTGCCGTCTGCTGTTCTTCGGATCATCATACTTTCCGTGACGCCTTCTTTTCACCGGAGTAATAATCATCAAACCCATCAAATAAGAATTTTGTTTACAGTTGTCTTTTAAAGCATAAAAGTCATGAAATAGGAGTTTCTTTTGAGTATGTGGAATACTGCGACAATGAAACTTACATTTACAACTGACCTCTTCTTTGGTTCTGTTTTTCCTTCAACCAAAACATTTTTCTTGTTCACGTAAGGTTTTCCTTCACTTCTACGAATTTTTTTTTCATTACGCACTGACTGTTTTTTTGGCATTTTATTAGTAATAAATAGATAATATTTTAAGTAAAATAAATATACAGGTAATGTGCGTATACCTATTCCGTTTGAACGACGAACATATACTGATAACTAAAATAATTATTTTTATTATAGGACGGGTCGTGTTATCAGCATGGGAAATAACATTAACATTATCAAAAATAGAAATTATATATTTAGTGGCACTTAGCACGTTATTTCACCACAAAATCCCAGCACATACCACACACACTATCTAGCGGATGTTTTTACCTATAATATTATTAACCAAGGCACTTTGCCCGTTTCACATATTATTGGGCTTGGTACTTAGAACATTTTCTGAGGCTAATCCAAAAATCAGCTTTTTGGCACTTAGCCCGTTATTGAATTCAAGTCCTCATATATATACAAGTAAAGCGACTTAAGTACGTGAACGTATCACGCACTAGGTATAGCCGTGTTTTTAGGCGGGCGGGTCGGACTAACGTTATACCTGAGGTATTTACATTCAAATAGTAGTTCTAAAACTATAATTTAAATGTTTACTCTGGTAACTTGGATAGCGATATAAGTCAAAATATGTAACATTAGTTTAATACAAAATATATGTGTGTATCAGGATGGTCCTTATTTTGCAAGTTTGAAAATATGATGTCAAGTGATCGGAATTTTGTTCTATACAGCATAAAGAAATTATTGGTGAATTTTTAACGTCCTGTGTCAACCCCTTCACGTGCCTTAAAGGGGTTGAAAATTGTCAAAAAAATGTAGGAGTTTAGTTTTGTTAGTTTTGTTTGTAATCATGTGCACAATTCATTCACATGGACGTCTTTGGGCACTTAGATATTATAATAAAAAGATGTAGAATTACATAAGCTTTATTTTAGTGTATAGAAAATTACTGGACACCCTTCGGATCATTTTTGAATTTGCAGAAAACTGATGCCGCGTTGTAGGATACAAAAATGTTGAATACAAAAACAATAAAGAAGAAAGATTATAGATTGTTAACTTTGTTGTATTAAGATTCTCGTCTTGAACACATTAACAATATAGGACATTATTTCTTTAATTAAAATAATTCATGTGTTTGGGTAGAATATATGATGACTTTGTATAACACTCAATGCCGTCCCACTTGTTGTTTCTAAATAATTTTTGAACATAGTTCTTGAATTAAAATTAGAATACCAGACTTCGGACTGTCTACTAAAAGCTTAACTATTTTTTGATGGCTCTTAATAGGTGTGGTTACAATGAGTGTCAACAAATTTTTCGGCATCTGAAAATACAAATGACATGTATAATGAATTACTTTTGAAACTTCTCTAATACGTATATTCTCACTTATTTTTGGTATCTGAATGAGTATAATATTGTGGCCTTATACATTCACAATAATAGTTATATTATAATAATCATTTACATATTGGGGTTCGAAATAAAATTATAAAGATATTAACCTCTCTATGAATTTAAAGTAAACCAATTTTTTTATACTTGATAGACATTTTTTGCATAATATTAACAATTTTTTTTTAGTAAATAT